ATACGGGCCGAAATTCACAGTGATCAAGTAATTTCTTCCAAACTACTGGACAGATTCGAACGAAATTTTGAATTGACAGTCCTAACTACCGAACGGTAATGTTTAGCTCGTGAAAATTTTTTCGATCGTGCTTTCGTTCGAGAGTTTTTTTTTTATTTCACCTTCATTTGTGATTTAAACAGCAATACGTGCTTAAATTCACAGTAATCAAGAAATTTTTCTAAAATCTGAACAGATTTGAACGAAACTTAGTATTTAAATACCTAACCTCAGCAACGGTGATGTTTACAATTTGTTCGTTTTGCCATCGTTTGCGAGTTTAACGGCTATACGTATAAGGCTCTTGGTTAAACCGGCCGGTTTTTTAGAAGCTTCTCGCTTCTAAAAAAATTTCTTCTCGCTTCGAATCACCGACATGTGGAACAGCCTCCCCTAATGACATCGTTGGCGCTCCAAGTATGAACGCGTTCAAGAACAGACTAGATAAAGTTATGGAAAAATATATGTTCAGATTTGAAATGCCTAGCTCCTTATCGAACCCGGTGGAAGTCTAGTAGCTACTTCAAACTATCGCCAGTCATGAAAAGATCCGGTCAAATGACACGAGTTTAGATCTATGAACAAGGCACGAAAAGGAAAAGAATCGGCGACAGGCCACATCAGGCCTACACTTTAGCGCCGACATCACTATGTTATGTTATTATAATCTTCTATAATCTTTAGGCGTTCAATATTTACTTCAGTATGTCATGAACTCTGAGGCTTTTTTATATAGATTAGGTTAATTATTGACATAATTATACTCTCAACTATAGTTATTATTTCGCTAATTAATATAAATTGTAAGGTTCCATTTAGGAACCTTAATAACTTATTTAAAACAAAAACTGACACAAAATAAGATAAATACAGTACAGGAGACTGTTTATGAATTGAAATCAATGCGACATAAATTTTATTAATTTCAATCAAATTTCCAAATTTTCGAACTGTAAAATAGTTTTTACCCGTCTCGGTAGTTAATTACTTAATCTGAATATTTATAAAAAAAAAGGCAATTTTTTCAATACGTAAATCATTACGGCTCAAGAAAGAATATCGGAGTTCCATTAAACCGAGCGCTGTGTATGATTTTCATCTATGAATTATGGTAATTAGTAAAATTTGATAATTCTAGAAATAAATATTGAACTGGGGTAACAAGGGAAAAAAAAGTCGAACTTACCTGACGAACCGAAACAGCCATTGTACAAGGCTTCCAAGGAACGCGTTCCCTCGTTTTCACACAGATTAATGTTGTAAATGAGAGAGAAATTACATTAGGGCCAAATATACGAGAAATTATCTTTATTCAGTCTATATATACTTGAATTTCAATGGAGTTGTAACCAATGCCAAAAACGCATGCAAGTGAAGTATATTAGACCAAACTTGAATGTTAATCTAAAATCTATATCGCGTGAACGGCCCAATTGACGAACAAATACGTTGTTTGTTGCTCGGTGTCGTTTCTAAAGCTGGAAGTGTAACGCAGATGGTGGAACGCACTCGGTGATTGGCAGAGGCCGCTGCTGCCAGATGTAAGACGTTGATAGCTGCAGACCTGAGACATGCAGTCAGCGCAGTGTACTGGCTGCTGTTGAGAAGTGAGGATGTTGGTGCGGCGGTGCTTTCCCGCCTACTTTTACTTCTGCGTTCAAAATTTTCGCTGAAACATATAGTATCAATTTTCTCGTTCATTATTCTTATGTTGCCCTCCAATGAAAATGAGGGTCTCGTTTGCCACCATGTCTCTCTTTGGATCTCAATATTTTCCCACTAGATGGCCAAGACCTAGTGTTTTGCAGTATTTCGACACGCAAATGTATGACGTCACCATTTCAACCATCAATGAACGCATGGAACTATAACAAAGCTTAATATAAAGGAAAAGCTGGAGAGGTGACGGAATTACCTACGATGTCGGAATATACCGCGTTTACCTTACTAGGCCTACGCGCCAGCAACGATGAAACGTCACAAAATGTTGCCAATATTTATTTAAAAGCCTATAGAATGCAAACCTACAATTATCTACCAAATCCCTCTATTCCGACACTGTGTGTGGCAATATTCGGCACGTGGTGAGGCGTATTCCGTCCGCGCTTCAAATTCTACTGATACGTAATGCCGTCATCCACGTGTTCGAATTCTGTTTGCTGTGTGAGCTGTATTGGAATACAACACGGCTTTGAACTAGAACACTAATGAATATTGAACACTACTTAATTACGCTTCTAATTAACAACTATTAAGCTTTTAATTAAGCAAATTTTAATTTTTGTACATAGTTTGGATCAATCTGTGTGTCTCCAATTCAAGTTGTGACGGAATTAGTTTTCATGTGTCTAAATCCATTTCTCAACTTAATCATCTATTAATTTATTTACCACTTGAAATCAGCAAATACAAGTATACTTAAAGGATTCCTAATATATTCACAGACGTATTTAAAAGTCTCAAACCATAATATTCTTCCTATACAAACAGTTATTCACTATTTGGTAGAACAAGGTCAACTGTCAAATTTGACACATTTTTTGATGATCTCACTGGGTAGCGTGCATTGTCTCTCTTTGGATCTCAATATTTTCCCGCTAGATGGCCAAGACCTAGTGTTTTGGCAGTAGTTCGATGCCCAAATGTATGACGTCACCATTTCAACCATCAACAAACGCATGGAACTAAAACAAAGCTTAATATAATGGAAAAACTAGAGAGGTGACGGAATTACCCACAAAAGCCATGATATCGGAATATACCACGTTTACCCTATCTAGGTTAGGCTAGGTATCATAAGGTATGAGATAGGGTAAATGCACCATATTCCAACATTGTGGGTAATTCCAACACTTCTCAACTTTTTCCTTTATATTAAGCTTTGTCTTAGTTCCACGCATGCGTAGATGGTTGAAATAGGCTAGTGATGTCATACTACTGTGCACAATAATTTTTGCAAAACACTAGGTCTGGCGGGAAAATTTCAAGATCCTCAGAGCGAAAATTCACAACCACAGTCACCCAGTGAGAACATCAGAACACGTGTCAAAGTTTATAGTTGACCTTGCTCTACCAAATAGTGATAAACTGTTTGTGTAGAAAGAATATTACGGTTTGGGACTTTTAAATGTCTGTGAATATACTAGGAATCCTTTAAGTATACTTGTATATGCTGATTTTAAGTGGTAAATAAATTAATAGATCATAGATGATTAAGTTAAGAGACAGTTTTAGAAATATAAAAACTAATTCCGACACAGCGCGGAATTAGACACACGCAGCTTGTTCCTAGCTGTGTCGTATTCTGATACAGCTCAAACAGGGCGTCGGAATTCCAACACAGGGCATCGGAATTACGAATTACTGTTTTGAAGCGCTGTTGGAATTAGTCTCACAATATGACAAATTTAGACACACAGCATTGGAATTCAGCGATTTTGTAGATTTGAATTCTAAAGACTTTTAAATAAATATGGCAACAGTTTGTGACGTTTTATCATTGCTGGTGCATAGAGTGATGTTTTGAATGACATGGAGCAATCAGAACTCGAGTTGCGCATACGGTGATCTTTTTATAGCCATTCATTTCTTGCTACGTTATTAAAGTGTCAGAATATGGTGTGTTTACCCTAGGCCTATTTTATCTGGTGGCAAATAATAATCTTGCAGCTCTGAGAATGACAAGAAAACTCTAGTCACACTGTCAAAGCTCACGGTAGATAATGAGTACCTAGTGCAATATAATCTATGCTGGGTTGTTATATTCTCTTTTCCATGTTCTCTGGAAACTTATATTCACATATTGACTGCTTTAGGTTATTAACTATTTCTCATTTGGAAACTCTGCATTTTTGAAGGATTTAAAAGCCTAGATTATCAAAGTTATGATTCTAAGTCACAGTCAGAGGCTCACGGAGAATTTGCTGTTGACCAATTTGTAATATTGGGGCCAACTTTCCTACAATTGTGGGTTAAATGATTGTTTGACCAGCGATTTTCAAAAATCACTGTTAAAAATGGGTTTTTCTTTTTTTTACTGCAGAAATAGGGAAAGACCTTGGAAACAGGTGTAATTAGTCAAATTTGCCTGGAACTTTGTCTGATTCACAGGTGACTTCTGCCTAATTTTCCAGTTAGGATTGTAGAGAAAATCAGGCAGCTGCCACCTGTAAATAAGCCACTAATGCCCTTTTGCGCAAATAATTTCATGTGTTATTATGGTCCTTGCCTAATATTTTTTATGCAAATTTGCACATTTTTGCCTGCATCTGTCAACAGGTGGTACACCCTGCATGTTATAAAGACAGCAGTGATTCAGGTGTTTGTTGCCAAAATTTGTCTCCATTTTTATACTATTGGAAGAACTTACTTTTGTACTAAATGTCTCACTTCTATTTTTGTAGAACTTGCTATCTAAACATAAAACTTACTCTTTTGAGTTATTGCTACAATTGTGTTGTATCGGCAGGAATTGTCGTGATCTCCATCATTGCTATTTGTTTCCTGCATACTATTAATACAAAAATTACAATTGAATTTATCTAGTAACTGGCAGTTTGTGATCATTCATGTACAGATTTAGTGCAATCCTATCTTAGCAGATCTGTTTTGACCATGGTCTGAAAACATTAATTTCTGAACATACAGTTGGTCTGGTATTTGTATAGTGGGTAGTTACTAGTTAGTAGGCTAACCCATTTTACTTCAGGTTGGTGCAAGACTCCCTTCAATTTTAACCATAGCAGGGGATTAAACCCAGCTGCTTGCCCTCAAGGCTCCATGACAGTTTTTAATACATTACCCAGCTAAAGCAAAACCGAGTTTACTGTAGTTTTCATTATACATTTTTTTCTTGCAAAACAGTCTTCAAACTTTTCATCTTTCTTCATTGTATTGATTTGTTTCAGTAATTCCTGCAATTTATAATGATTATATTATATTATCTGATTGTCTTTTTTCAGATTTCACAATGGCAAAAGTGATTCCTTTGAACACCAGAAAGGTGGTCAAGAAAAGGACCAAGAAGTTCTCACGCCACCACTGTGACAAATTCTATAAGCTCAAGGTATGATAATTTTTCTCATCACACTTGGGTTAATTTATCCCAATATATAATTGATATCACCTTGGATTTTAATGAATAGAAATTTGCATTTTCGCTTATTATTTTATCTTGCTTATGCAAAGCATATCTAAAGAAATTCTTTTTGTAGTTGCTAAGTAATCTAGTTTTAGATAACTGATAACTTGTAAAGCATGCTCATGCTAATGAGATATAATGCACTTCAGAAATATTTATTAGTGATATTTGGAAAAATTTATTCTTGTGAACAATTTGCATCAAGTTTTCTGGCCTGTTCTTTTTTTTCTCATTTATGGAAAACATGCACTATAGTGCTCGCCATGTCCGTCCGTCCGTCCGTGACTTTACGTTTTCGTCGACAAGAAAACGAGCTCTCTGTCACTCACTGCAGTGTGTTCTGAGTTATATTTTTATTTCTATTATTAACTTAGTTTTTGTACAGGACAACTGGAGAAAACCGAGGGGTATTGACAACCCAGTTCGGAGGCGCTTCAGAGGCAGTCGGCTCATGCCCAGCGTTGGTTATGGCTCTAACAAGAAGACCAAGTACTACATGCGCAATGGCTTCAAGAGAGTTCTTGTGCACAACATTAGAGTGAGTGCCGGCTATCTATTGACGCGTGAGCGGCAGTGTCAAACGTAAGGCGTGCCTGGAGCATGTTCAATGACGCTCAATATTGTAGCGTGTCCACTAAAGCTTTACCATTAAACTAACGCCCGTCAAAGTGGTGTTAGAATTTCTCGAAGCAAGTCAATTTTTTCTGTTGTCATTTTTTGGAAACTTCCGTTTTTGTTAGACTTTGTTTCGTTTCAATTCGCCTTGAACGTGAATTTGAAAGTTCTAACTGATAAATACTATATAAATAAAAAAATAGTAATATGTCTAGTATAGTACAATGATGATAACTATGATTTATTTAAAAAAAATTCCCCTTGTGTACAGTGATGAGATTTCATGTCAATTTTCTCACGGCAAATAAATATTGACGTGCAGGAGCTCGAGGTGTTGATGATGCAGCACAGGATTTACGCCGCTGAGATCGCCCACGGCGTCTCTTCCAAGAAGCGCGCCGCCATCCAGAACAGGGCTGAGCAGCTCAACATCAAGGTCACCAACGGAAAGGCTAAGCTCAAGACCGAGGAGACGGCGTAAATATAATGCCCAACGTGACTTCAGCTTTCAATAACCCCTTATTTAGTAGAGCCTGGTTCGATGAATAGATGCTCTGAGAGCTGCATTACGTGTGATCACGCTAGTGTTGTCGCTCAATAATCTTTCGAATTGGAGTCTTCTTGGAATTGTTTTTCTTCTGATTTCGAAAAGAGGTGGTACGGTAGCTCGTCCTGTCAAAATAATTAAACCGACACGTGTCGCACCTACCGGCGAGGGAGGCGGTGCATGCGTTCAATTGTATTACACCTACTATCACGTACAAAATGTCCGATGCGATGACTTTCATATGGATTGCTCCATCAAAGCATTACCTTCTTGCATTTCAATATCCAGCAACTAGTCATGTCTTAGAAAATCACCTTGCCAGATGATAGTTAATGATAATCTAACGGAGCCAGAACGTGTCGAATATTCGGATTCGTGTGATATTAGTGGAGTTCTAAATGACCAGTGTCTTATTTTGTTCAATTTATCTAGTCCGCATCCCGTTTATTTCGCGAAAGAGGTTGAAGATCTAGGTATTGCGAAATTCCAAAACCGGATACATTGAACTTACAGGATATGAACGCAAAGAAATAATTCAACACACGTGTCAGCGTGGATACTTTAATTTCTGTCGGAGATTTTACTAGCGTATGCTTTAAGGTTTCCGAACACCTTCGATGGTGGGCTTCCTGTGGAAATGAAAATTCTGTTAAAATTTTATTGAATATATCAAAATTATAAAATTACATGCCTATTTTGATGCAATGAATCGATTAACTCTATTATATTGCACTGAGTGGCTTTCCAGTGAAATATATTCTGATAATAGTCTGGTTTTAGTTACTGATTTTGACTGGATGTAGCTGGGACTGTGATATTCGACTATTTACTAAAACGATATGCGTGGATAGCCAGCATAAATAAGCATCAAATCGGGATCAGAAAACATATGAACGGAATTAGCAGCTCAAACTAAGCAAGAACTACTTCACTGCTCAGAGACAAGCGAGGTTAAATAAATCGAGGCCTGATTATATTATTAGTAAGGGATTTTCTACTTAGACAGAGCTTATCTCGGCCATGTTTCAATCAATAATGAGATGAATTTTGTCATAAACTGACCCAGATGATTACTGCAGCAGTGGACTGACCCAGAATGTAATTGCATCAATTAACTAACCCAGAATGTTGCTGCAACAATGGACTGACCCAGCAGAATGTTACTGCATCAATTAACTGACCCAGATGATTACTGCAGCAGTGGACTGACCCAGAATGTAATAGCATCAATTAACTAACCCAGAATGTTGCTGCAACAATGGACAGACCCAGCAGAATGTTACTGCATCAATTAACTGACCCAGAATGATTAATGCAGCAATTAACTGACCCAGAATGTTACTGCAGCAATTAACTGACCCAGAATGTTGCTGCAGCAATTAACTGACCCAGAATAATTAATGCAGCAATGGACTGACCCAGTATGTTGCTGCAGCAATTAACTGACCCAGAATATTACTGCATCAACGGACTGACCTAAAATGTTACTGCATCAACGGACTGACCTAGAATGTTACTGCATCAACGGACTGACCTAGAATGTTACTGCTTTAATGGACTGACCTAGAATGTTACTGCATCAACGGACTGACCTAAAATGTTACTGCATCAACGGACTGACCTAGAATGTTACTGCATCAACGGACTGACCTAGAATGTTACTGCTTTAATGGACTGACCCAGAATGTTACTGCAACAATGGACTGACCCAGAATGTTACTGCAACAATGGACTGACCTAGAATAAGATTACAGATGGCCCGACGCACGGCTGCGATGTTCTGGTGGGCGCCCAGGATGTGCACGCGGGAGTCTGCTATGACTATCCTGGTCTTGGTGGCGTTCTCGAGCGTGAAGCGCGTCTTGCCGCTCTTGCCAGCGATGCGGCCCACCGCCCGCCCCATGTGGTCGCCTTGTAAGCTCAGCTTCACTGTAATACAAAATTACATACAAGTCAAACAATAGACAGGTAAATGGTTCAAATTCAAATAAATGTAATGCACCACAAAAACAGTCTGAGCTCATATTAAAAACAAATACACACAAACAACAGTGGTAGAGATAGTAGAGGGAAAATGTTGTTGCATTTATTGATAACATTAAACATGAAGGAGACATGCTTGCAAAGTATAATTCATTCATGATATTAATAACGTCTGCATTTTTCAATGAATGTTCAATTATGGTTCATTTTCAAACATACATAATTACGCACTGTAATGGAATGACTAACCATCGTTGACATCAAAGGTTTCAAGGTAGAGGTCGTGCAGTCTTATCAAAGCGAGAGCATCATCCACATCAAAGCCATACACAAAGGCTTGGATGAAGTCTGCCGCTTTCTGTAAACTGGATACTTCCTCGGTGTGTTCTGTGGTCTGGAGGTGGAAATGAACGTTGAGCGAGCAATAGATTTAACCTTGCTTGTGTAATGACACAAGCAAGGCAAGGGAAACAGATGCAAAGTTCTCAAATAAATAAAATTTATATAAATGCAAAATCAGTTTTCGGGCAAAGTTGTGTCTTGAAGACNCAACTTTCATCATAATTGATGAAACTGACAGTAGGTACATCAAATTAACGGCTACAAACATCGTGTACTTGCCTAATAGTGTTCACATGAACATTTTTCGCGTGTTTTCATATACCAAATATCTATGTAGCACCAAAGTGAAGCAATTATATGAATTTAAGGCCAAAGACGAAGTCTCTGCTGACTGACAAACTTTCCCTCACCCTCATGTGCACAACTTTCGTTTTAGGGTTGAATTTGATAGCCAGTTTGAGGTGTGTGACCAGGGGATCATAGAGCTTCTTCCAATTGTTCCTCAGTGGAGTCAGCCTGTAAAAAAAATATAATTAAAATGTGACAGCTTCAGCAGCTATATGATGAAAGTAATGCCAATGTAAGTTGATTCAACCAAACAAACCCAGCAAGATGATATCGTCACGTGTTGGCCAGCAAGAGATTATACACCTTTCTGATTTTGTTCAGACTCTCAGAGAAGCCCACACATTCCATACAGTGAAACCGGCGCGAGATAGCTTGATCTGAGGCGCTAGCAGCTAAGTCCATTAAGACAATCATGCAGTACAAAGAGAAATTACAGAATCAAGATGACCAAAATAAAGGAAATAACATCAGCCAAGGTACTTGACTGAAATGACGAAAATGACATCAGCCAAGGTACTTGACTGAAATGACGAAAATGACATCAGCCAAGGTACTTGACTGAAATGAAGGAAATGACATCAGCCTAAGTACTTGACTGAAATGACATCAGCCAAGGTACTTGACTGAAATGAAGGAAATGATATCAGCCAAGGTACTTGACTGAAATGAAGGAAATGACATCAGCCAAGATACTTGACTGAAATAAAGGAAAAGATGGTAGCAACAATTCCAGGCCAAAATAAAGGTAATGACCATAGCCAAAATACTAGACTAAAATTATTCGTGTTTATGAAAGTCCAAAAATAGTGAAAAAAACTGCCCAGAAGCAGCAGATGGGCAGTTAAGTAGCTCCTGAATTCATTTTTTCAATTTGTCAGGTAGTAGTTGCTGAAGTTTTCACCAAATGCATCAAGGTGCCATCTTGCAGTCCTGATATCTATAAAACTGCAATAGATTACTGGTAGAAAATATAAAGTCACTACTGCCTGTTCAAATTTTGTTGGAAAAATTCCCAACTGCACTATGGATCATTCCATGTTGCATGCAGCAGCTTGAGTAAAATTAGCTTAGTGATGCTATCAGGAGCTAATTGAATTGAATGTTGTACAGTATTGCTAGGTGGAGTTCTTCAAAGAGACATTAACTTCATGGCACCAGGAGCCTTCATCATGCAAGGTGTGTGGCTGAAAAATCTAGTCTTAAAATCTGTCTGTTCAGGAAGAAGCTCAAATTGTCAAAGTCTGAACTGAATGCCCTTATTCGATTTGCTTTGTTAGTGATATCTGTGTGTGGTCAACTGATGCTATTGCAGCAGCTCTATCAAATGACATGCAGTTCCTGCCTTTTGGCTACATTGGCAGTAAATTGATTGTGTTAGCAAACTTTGCCAGCAAATTTTAAGGTTTACAATCTTCCTGCTGATGGGAGTTCTATGAAGCAACATTTTATTTATTTATGAAAGATTTCGTAATTAACTGTGCCTGACTTAATCAGTTAGGTAAGTAACTGATAGACCGCTTGATGATACAAACAAATGAACAAATCAGTAATTAGCATTTTTATTTCAATAATTTTTATATATGTAGTACCTACTGCAGCAGTCAATATACGTACCAAAATTGTTGGGACAAAAATGATAATTGCTGAACTGGATGATCATTTTGACAATCAGGTGGCAGTGTGTTGTTCAAGCCTTGTGTAAATAACTTTGCTAAATGAAGCATTCCAATAACTTCCAATGAGGAGAAAAAACAATATATACCTGCTATAGACAGATGAAAATACCACCAGTAAGATGCTTCCAATCAGCTGTCTGCCTATGAAAACATATGTAGTTAATATTTCATGAATATTTATTATAAGGACCAATTTTGTTTCTTTGTGCAGATGTTTAATGTGCAACAGTGTACCTATATCGTATTGTGGATTGTTTTAGACTGCATTCACCAATTGCACAAAACAATCCACAGAATCATTCACCTATTGCATGTGTTGCATTCTAGACCCTGGCTGCAATAGGTTAAGCCCACAAAGGGGAACTTATTGACTGAGTACTTATTCAAGTATTTCTATTGTAATTTTTAGGCAACTTTTCAATGTTTTAAGTGTCAATTAATCAATTAAATTGTAAGTTGTTAACATTCATATTTTCCTACAATTTTAGATTTATATTTTTTTAAAACCTGCCAATCAATTTCCTCCAAAGCCTGCAAACCAGTAAAGATTCACAAAAGATTCTTCTCATTAATATTTCTTGAAAACAGGCAGAGGAGTGATGCTGCAGTGCGTGAAGCACAATACAGTGAGGGATTACTGTAGTGTACAGATTGGACTGGAGTGCACCATGATTGTTAAAACTGGTGATAAACATCATGTACCTATATGATTGGATGATTGATTCTTGCCAGCAATGTGTGACTCTAATTTAACTCAAGTATTTCATAAAAAATTATCCTGATCTCTGCATTAAGTCACCTTTCAGACAGTGCAGTCAGATCTAAATTCCCAGTCTATCTGTGGTAAGTTGCTCATGGAAAATGCATCAGCTGCCAGGAAATGGTGCAGTTATGGGACCTGATACAACTCAAAACTCACTGAGGGCAACAAATCAAAGCAATCAGAGTATTGAGGCAAGAAGTAAACATAACATACCAACAGAACTGGGCCGCGCTAATTTAATGAAATGTAGCGACCGCTACCGCTTCATGCTCTAAATGTAGCGGGTGCTACCGCTACAGCTACAATTGCTTAAATGTAGCGTCACTACCGTTACTGAAAATGTAGTGGCCGCTAGTAGCAGCTGGCCTGCTACATGTAGCGTGCTACTGCATACCTCTGGTAAAAACTAACATGTTGACACTAGTAATAGGCTGAGGTTGACAACATTACACCAAAATCGTTCATACAGTTTTATTCTGTAATTTATATTATGTATCATGCTGGTTTTTAAATAATATTTAATACTATTAAGTAAAATCTAAAGGCTTTATTTATAATTGTAGCGGTAGCGCTGTAGCAGCAGAACCTCATATCGCTACTTAAATGTGTAGCGGGCACTACCGCTACCGCTACAATTGCTTAAATGTAGCGCTGCTACCACTACTGAAAGCGTAGCAGACACAATATGTAGCTTGCTACTGCCCAGCTTTGCACACCAAGGCAATTAGGAAATGAATGCCCTGCATTTCTGAATTCATTTTCAAATGTGATGAAACCTTAGAAAATAATAGTTACATTTAAGAAAGATGGATGATTTATTTTTAGCCAACAAAGACATAACTGACCTGTGTTGAGGAATCCGCACTTTACGTTCTTCTATGTGATGAAGTTTACGAGATTTGTCAGGAGGGAATACTGGAGCAGAGGGAACTGTCTGTAAAATGGAATAATTACAGTAACAAATACATATTGAATGTATGAGATTTATTTGAATTAAAAATAGAATCATAATAGGACATTCAGGCTACCTCTAGGAATATAGTATTACCAAATTAAAAATCAAAACTGTCCAATTAAATTCCAACACAATGTAGGAATCTGTAACACTTAAGCTCAAAAAATCTAACACAGATCTCAGGAATTTTACCTCATCTGAATTAGCATCAACGTCCATTTCTTCTACCTTCCGCTTCTTGCTCTCCATTGTAGTTATATGGACTGAAGAGTTTGACTGTTTCTTGAATTTTCTTTTTCCTTTTATTGTTTCTTTTGTGCTGACAGTGCTGGTCATGATGAATTTTTGATTATGCAACACTCTTATGTTATAAATTACTATTGACTTGAAATATTGAAAACAATAATAACTAAAAATATGCACCAAGCAGGTTAGCAAAACTGAAATATAGTAGAAATTACCTGTGAATGAAGAATAAAGACCAAAGTTTTAGACAATACCACCAATTTCTATGGCCTGTGGTCTGGAATGCCAAAGTAGGAAATTAGGCAGCAGCCACCCATGAATTGTCAAAAAAACCAGCAAATCTGGCCAAATACATTAATTTTAATGGCATTTTCCCAATTTCATCTGTGAAAAATTAGAAAAATGGCCATTTTTACCCACAATTTATAAAAATTGCAGTTAAAATAGTTTTTACTTACAAGTTTAGCAAACTTCTGCCTGATATTCCAAATAGGCTGAAATGTAACTACTTTTCTGCCATTTTTTGAAGCAGAAGATTCCTGCAGGGCCTAGAAGGCTAAAAGATTTACCTATCTAATTATTAAAAAAGTGCATGATTGGACCCCAAAATTTCAAACGTGTAGAACATGGTGAAATTCAGCATTCATTTTAAATTACATTACTGCTCAACATGGCATTCAAATTAGAAAAATGGTGCTATCGGACATAACACCTCTCACACTTGCAGTTAGTGCAACACTGTATGTCTGCCAGCTGTACAAGCTCAGTACCTAGCTCATGCTTGCCAATCAAACAATGATTAAAACAATCTTAAAAATATTTTAGCATATCAATAAAATCACTAATGCAAATCACTCTAATCTTTGATGATCATTTATAAATAAATAAAAACAACATTCTGCCAAAACAAACATTGGTATGCATGCACAGAAAAACTTTGGTTACAAATTATTTTGACCTCAGTTACACATATCTTTGATTTAGGGTAGGTTTCAATTTTATTTTGCTTTTAATCAGTAAATGACTGGCTGATGAGGTTACATATCTTACATGGCTAACAATATTGCACATCTTAACCAATTACACATGCAAGTTCTTTTCAAATCAAAATTTACCAGAAAACTATTGAACTTAACAGTACTTAGAACAATTCAAATGATAGAAATAGAAGATAAAAAAATAAAATCAGATAGGCCATTGGTCTATGAGATTATTAAGACTCCAGAGTTTAAATTAATAGAGAAGAATGGCTACTAACTCAAATTTTCATTTAGTAATGTCACTAATGTGTGTTCTGAAAAAATAAATAAAAGACAATCTTTCATGTATAAATTTATCTTTCTATTAAATTTCTAATTTATATCATTAGAGATTCAATATTTTTGTTTTTTCTACATAGTAATAACAAATTATGCCAAATTATGATTGCGCTAAATTCCCATATGAACATTCTTGTTAAAAATGATGCCTGTTTTATAAAAAACTTCCTTTGAGTTTAATTTTTAAAGCTTTCTGATAAAATGTACAATAATAGGGTCAACAAATCTCAACATTTGTCCAAATGGAAGGTCAAGTAAATCCGGCAACATGTTTTGCTCATCACCGAGTATCTTCAGGCAATAAGGTCAAGCAGCTGAGTAGACAAGGTGCTTACAGATTGGCTGCAGAGAGAAGACTACTTCAAGTAGTGAACAAAGCTTTGAGTAAGGTTCTTGTACAGTCCATTGTACAGTCATTCTAGTTATAAAGTTTCAGAGTGCGTTGAAATCCAGCTGTTTGGTTGTTTAGGTGTTGTTGTTGATGTTCCCCAAGCCCCGGTCACACCAGGAAGCCCGCGCCGTGCAGGAAAGCTGCCACCCAAGCCGGCTCGGAACATAGCTGCGTGATGGATGTTAGGCATGCCTGGAGCCTGGGTGCTGCCAGCTCCGGGCACTCCAGCAGAAGATGCTTGATGGTGTGGGGGAGTGCTTGACACTGGGGGCACAGGTCCGTTTGAGTGCTGTCCAGGCGGTGTTTGTAAGAGTTTAGCAAGGGATGGTGACCGCAGCGGAGTCTGCTGAGGTGCACCCTGTCTGCACGGCTCAACTGCTGTAATGTATGGCTGATGTCTGGTGGTATATCATCAATAATGCTGTTGATTGGTAGATTTAAGAGTGCATTCCAGGTTAGGTGTGTGTTTATGTGTTTAATGAAGTTTGCTAGATCTGTGGGCACTGGGCAGAGGTATGGAATTAATTATCGTGAGATAATAGTTGTATGGAGTGTTGGCAATTTGTCTGGGTGTGGGAGGTAGGTACTGAAAGTAATGGCAGGGACTGAGGGGGTTGTGGAGTGCTGATGCAAGGAATTGGGTGCCTCTCATGTCTAGGTGTTCTTTCATAGAGAGGACTTTGGTTTCTGCATGGACGTGACTGGATGGTGTGGTTTTGGTGCTGCCAATTGCGATTCTGAGGGCTGTGTTTCGTATGGTTTGTAGGTGTTTGTGAAGTGTGGGTGAAATTATGGGTGCCCAGGCTGGACTTGCATAGTCTAGCACTGAGCGTATGTATTGTTTGTACACTAGTGTGAGGGTTTCTTTGTTCTGTCTGAATGCTGTTCCTGTGAGGGCTCTGAGTGTGTTTAGCCTAGGTCTGCATTTTGTTTTGATTTCCTGTATGTGTGGCCTGAAAGACATAGAAGTGTTGTAAGTGACACCTAGGATCTTGGTTTCATGTGTGTGGTATGATGGCGTTGTTTAGAGTGACTGTGGGTCTGTGTTGATGCTCCTTTGTGTGGCTTGTTAGAAGTGTGCTTGCTGATTTGGTGGAGGTTACTTTGAGTCTGTTGCGTGCTAGCCAGCCCTCTAGTTGTGTGATGTAAGGTTGTACTAGTGTAGAGCATGTTAGCATTGGTGTGTGTTGATGTAATTGTGATGTCATCTGCGTAAGACAAAATGTGAATGTTTTCTGGTGGGGCTGGAATGTCATGCATGTAAAGGTTGAAAAGTGTTGGTGAGAGGACCGATCCTTGGGGTACTCTGTTTGGTATGTTTTTCGTGTGTGATGATATGCCATTGTAGTGAACGAATGACTGTCTGCCTGTTAAATAGTTGGCAAGCCAACGTTTCATGTTGTTATGTAGTGTTGTTATATAGATTTTGTCTGTGAGTGGTAAGTGTGGGATGGCATCAAATGCTTTGCTAATGTCGATTGTGATTAGAAGTGTACGATGTGCAGGTTGCTTGGAGTTAATGCCATCTTGTATACGTTGTGTGAGGCTATGAGGAAAATGGTGGTGGAGTGATGGGTTCTGTAACCGTGTTGTGTGGGTAAGAGGGGAATGTGAGGTGAGGTTATGGAGAGTATGAGGCGCTCTACAACTTTGGATGGTGTGCAGAGGAGTGTAATGGGCCTGTAGGAGGCTGCCTCGGTGGGGGGTTTGTTTGGTTTCAGGAGAGTTATGATTTTGCCGGTTTTCCAGATTGAGGGTATGATGCAGTTGGCAAAAGAAAAGTTGGCTATATTTGTGAGAGTGATGATACCATGCGAGCCGAGGTGTTTTAGATGAATGTTTGAGATGTTGTCTGGCCCCATGGCTGAAGAATTTTTTAGCTGTTTTATGATGCGTCAGGTGCCTGATGCTGTGGCTAGGATGTAGTTATTCGCTAGTGGAAATTTGTATTTGCGCCTGTAAATTTGTCTGTCTGCCCTGTGCTTGGGTAGATGACTGATGCTGGCATAATAATTTATCAATATGTTGGACAGTTTTTGCGGGAAGGGATGGTATCCGAGGAGGTAATTGCCGAGTGAGATGGGGTGAGTACACTTGTTGCGGACTATTTAGTGCTTTTCAGCGCAACTGTTATCTAAGGCAGGATTAATTGAATACGCGTGCATCAGGTTACTTTCTTTTTCTTCATAATCCCAGATGACACGGTTTCTGGAAAGAAACCAGTACAAATACAAAAAATTCAAACTAAAACAAACAAAAGGTCATTGAATATATATAAACAATATTCGCAAATATTAAATATTACAGTAAATAACCAAGGCTTCCTAAGCGGCAAAGAAATATTCAAACAAGAGAACTAAGCTCACCAAAATTCGTTCCTGAATAAAGTTTGGTCTGTACTGCGCAGCCGACAGGTGACTAATGAGCGAAAATGTTCAGCAAGACCACGGAATTAAACTACTATTCTAAAGCAAATGTTGCGTTCACAACAA